GCGAGTCTCTTTCTGTTTTGTAAATAAGTTCATTTGTCTCATTTTTTTTAGATTCTACATATAAGTGATATCATATGATATTTGTCTTCGTCTGACTTACTTCACTTAGTATGATAATCTCTAGGTCCATCCATGTTGCTGCCAATGGTGTTATTTCATTCCTTTTTATGGCTGAGCAGGACGCCGCCATAGTAACCTCCTTCTCCTCCAGCTCACGGGGCACGGCCCCACCGTAAAAGCCCCGCTGGTAACCCGTGCCCCGTTGTTCTCATGAAGGGAAGAGCAAGAACTACTTTTTAAATGTCTCACCATCACCTTGGGATGTAGGTGCTGCAAGTCACTGCGATCCCCTTTTTGTACATAAGGAAACTCAGACTCTCAGACATTTAGTGTCTTGCAGGAAACAGAATTAAATCATCCAACTGACACTGGGTACAGAATGGGTTACCAGGTACTTGTAATAAATCTTTAAAGCCAACAGTCAGTCTGCAAGAATGGGGTAAAACCTGTTTTTCTTTTCTGGTTTCCAGTGTTTTCTTGACTTGGGTTTCTTGACATGAGAAGGGAGAAGAAACAACTTTGAAATGGTATCTGGAACCAAATGTTTATCACTGAAATTCCCTGCTGAATCCCTTTCATGACTGGAAGATAATCACTAACTAGAGCAACCCATTCCTCATCACCCAGCATAATAATGGTCAGGGAGCATCAGGAAGCCCAGATGGAAGGCACTTGCTCATTCTGCACCAGCACACGTACCCCATTTGGAGACTAATTAAGAGAATAACAAACCTGGCCACATTGGCTAAGAGAGCTCCCCACTGGACTTTGCTGATTTGGACACGTTTTTCATACGCACAGCATACTGGAAGAGAATTTCCCATTCTTGATACTTCTCTTTTCTGGGTAGTCTGATCATTGAAATCATGGTGTGCAGTGTTCTTGCCTGGTTATCTTCTCAACACCTGAGGTAAACCTCCACCCACTCCAGAGATTTCCTGAAAGCCTGGCTCTTACCTGTAACCCAGTAGATTCCAACTGAATCACAACCCCAAAAAGGCATCAAAAGTAAAAATCTAACCATGTGTTTATATTGACTTCGTACCCAAAAAAAAGTTTCCTTAACTTTTTAATTTGGACTGGGAATTTTTTAGAAAACTTTACGTTTGGGTATGAGATGATTTCCTGCTCAATCATGGTACCCACAGGAAACCCAGGATTGTCGCTGGCTCTCTTGAGGACATGCCATGCAGTGGAATCGCTTTTACTGGCCCCACCCCTGAGGCAAGAGACACATCTTTGAGGCCACCATCTCCCCCAAATTCCAGGAGGGAGGGGGGCCCACCTCCAAACTACCTATAGATCCCCAAGCCTTTCTAGGGGATTATAGAATCTCTCCTAATGCGTAGCACAAGGGGATGTGGCTAGGAACTCCACTCTGACTTTCAAATTCCTGGTTTCTGTTCCACGTCAGCTCTTTGCACTTTGAACAGCTGTATCTTCATCCATCCTGACTCTACATATCCTTCAAGTCTATTGTTTATCAACTTGACTTACTAAAATACAGGTTTTAACAACTAAAAAGCTTTTTTTCCTCAAAGCTTTGATTTCCATGGCCATCAGATAGCTTATTTGTGTCTCTAAGCAGAAGCCTATGCTACCCCCGGAATGGTGGGGCAAAAGATTGGGGGAAATGAATTGCTGGAGGAAAACACCTAAGTTAGTGTCAGGTGCTTGCTGTTATATAGGTGTTTGGCGGGATACTGGAGGGGCTTTCTGCGTTCCATCTGGGTGGGCAGACCGATACTCCAGGCATTTTGGACTGTTGCTTGCTGATGTTGGCAGTGGTTGCTATAAAGCTAGCAAAGACTGCCACTTCAGAGGGCATGTGGACGGGACACTTGCCCTGGAAAGAGCTGTGTGGTGAGGCAAGCTTTGTGCGGTTTGGTCCCTTTCATTCATCTCCTTAACAAAGGTCAGCTCTCCTGGGCTGGGCATGGAGGTGGTTCCCTCAGAGCACGACCTTTAGGCAGGGCCAAGAAACAGCATGGGCTTTATGGCTCCTTGGTCTCTTCGTACTCAGAGCCCAGCCCAATAGGAACATTTCACAATAAACACCTCTGTTCAAGGATCTGCAGAGGGAATCGGTTAAACTAATGACACTGTTTAAACGAAACCACTGAAGAATTGCTTTCTATTTTTCAGATCTCTTAATTTATTTTAATACAATGCAAACAAATTTTTATTTAAAGAACCAAACCCATGCAAGATAGCCAAACACACAGAGACCTTATGTGCTACAAATACAGGAGAGGGAATTTGGGTCCGTTTTGATAATGGCAGCAGGGAGCCCCTCCCTGCCATCACCCATTGCCCCATTTTCCCCCAGTGGAAATGCCATTTCCTCATTCCCAAGGCCTCAGACTGTTTCAGACGCACAGAGGCCGTCATCTTGCAGGGGTGTGTGCTCATGTGCGTGTCCCTCGGTGCTAGGAGTGGGGACTGGCGGGATGTCCGAGAGCAGACAGATGAGAGACCACCAAGCAGCCCCTCCCCCATCTTATCTTCTTTCTTCACATACTGTTTGTTGAGGGGGCGGTGGGAAGAGCGCCCTCTTCCTCAGTATTCCCTTCTGCACACTTTTCATGAGCACTGTTTTCTTTTTTTATTTGCTGATCAATAAAGCCAAGGGTAGGTCTTGTCTGTTCCCAGAGATAAAGAACTCCACGCATAACTGGTCTTTATCCAGCCCAACAAGCGCGGTTTCTCTTTGTTTTTCACAGTGTTTCTGAGAGATAAGAGGAAACCACCCAGACATGATGCATGACTGAGGAGGTTTTGAAACATTTTATAGACTCATTCTCCTTTCAGAGCTGTAGATCAGGGATGGAAAGAAAAAGAGAGGGCAGCACATAGCACTCAAGTTGATTTTCTTTTTTGGGTCGGAAACAAGCAGATGGAGAGACAGCAAGAGAGAGGGAGAGAGAGAGAAGCATGAATAAATGTTCAGCTGAGGAAAGAATAATCCAATTTTCAATTATTGGCACAGAAAGCAAATAGGGAGAATTTTAGTAATTCAAATGAGTATATACCCTGAAAATTCAGTGGCCTTTTTCTATCACAAAAATTGCGTGTCATATTGGTTCAAGACCAATAGTGGGAGACAGGACCTCAGTTCAGGTGAAGAGTCACATCTATTCCCAGGGAATTATAGGATGGGACCAGGTTAGACTCCTCTTAAGTTCATGCATTTAAGGGTTTTAGCAGGTTTCTGAAAGTGAGCCAGGATGGAGGGGTTGATATGAGACAGATGATGCAAGGTATTAAGTTGAGTAAGGCTACATGTAAGATTGGTCAGTACTGATAAAGGCACAGAGAGAGTAAGATGTTTTTAAGAGCAAATGAAGTTGTGGTCGCAATTCGAGTAGATGCAGAGGAGAAAATCATTTAGGAGAAATGTGCCATTCAGCTAAGGAAAGACCCAAGGCTGAGCCCTGAAATGATGGCAGGAAGGCGTGGGAAGATGGGGTCTTCAGCAATGTTAGACAGAGAGGAGGAGTAAACCCAAGAGGCAAAGATAAGTAGCTAATAAACGGGAAATTGAAGTTGAAAGCCATGACATAGTTGTTTCTGAGCAACCAGATGGAAAGCAAGGAGCTGGTAAAATCTTAGTGAAGCTGATATGTGACATACTCTGTGTTACTCTTTCTTTCCACCCTTCGGCTCCCAACTCTTAGCTGCTCTATTATAGACTTTGTCTGTGTCTGTCCCCAGAACTGGATAGTAAGTTCCCTGGAGGGAAAAAACATGTCCCAGGCTTTCTAGAATTCCCTCCACAATACCTACCACAGGGCCTCACTGGGAGATTAGCTGAGTAATGTTAATTGGCATAATTAATTAATGAACAACTTCTTTATGTAATTATTTTTCCAAATTAAATGCTAGATTTGAAGAGGCCAAAACCTGGATCATGTTTTGCCATTCTAATGTTGGGGAAATCAGAGGAACAAATTGTGACTTAAGAAATCATTAGTTATTTCAAAAGGAATTGCTGAGTCTTATGGCAGTTATCAGGTAGGCAGATTTTATGTGTGAGCCTTAGGAAAGAGGCCAAAATCCACTAGACTGTTCTTTGATCCCCAATTCATCAGTCAGGCCAAAGCTGAACTTCAGGCGACTTTTTTTTTCTTCTCTGACTAGTACTTTTCTTGTGCAGGTCTGCCCTTTTGGAAGGGTGGCTTCATGAGAGTAAAGAACTTGTCATCATGTTCACTGTTGTATCTCTGGCATCTCAAACAGGCTTTCCTGGCATACAGTAAGCACTTCAGACATAATTGTGGAAGGAAGGGAAAGAGGGAAGCAGGGCACAAATAAAGGAAAGAGGTGAGGGGGTTCTGCTTCTCATGCCAGTACCCCTGGCACTTACTCATCAGTTGCCAAAGGCCCCTCAGGCTCAATGTTAGGAACCAAGGATACCAAAATGATGAGGTGCCACAGTCTTTGCATCTGGTCATCTGGCAGAGAGAGAGAGACAGAGAGATAACACAACAGGTGCTGTGCCGAAGAATCACAGTGACATGAGGAGTGTGCCTGCCGAAGGGCTCCATCTCACCTGCCCCAAGGAAGAGTAGGGGGCGGAGGACATCGCAGACTTGAGCAGAATCCTAATGAACTCAATGATGCTTGGTAGGCTTGAGGACATTTTAATGTCTATAGTCCCCAAACTGACTGTAGGTAGGATGAATAAAATCTGGAAGACTGCAAGTCACTGCAATTGAGCCATTCTCTATGCAGGGTGATTTTGATAGTGAAAGTTATTTTGCCTCGGTACTTACTGGACTTTGGTTTCATTCAGGGAATGCAAAAGGCCACAGCGAGTCTGTCAGGCAGCAGCTAATCAGAATTGTGACTTTATAAGCACAGGCTAAATGACACAAATTGAAGGCCCATTGTCTGGGCCAGACCTGCACCATACATCAGGAGTAACAGCTTTGTCAAGCATGATTGCTTCGGACCAGTCTTTGTTTCTTCCTGAACAACTTCTTGTTTCTGTGACAAGGACTAATGATGTAACAGCTGTCAGGTGGTCTTTGTACTTTATAAAATCCTGTAGCAGTAAAGGTGTGTATTTCCCATCAAAACAGCAAATTTTATGAACAGGGTAGATAAACTTGACAGCAAAGAGAGAATCAGTGGTTTAAAAAAAAAAGATATGGTGGGCTAAGCTTATTTACAGATAGGAAAAGGATTGGGGGGATAGGCCTTTTAAGCAAGGAAATCCAGTCTCTGAGGAACCATGAAGATCATGACTTGACTTCTGCTTCTTGATTTCCTTACTCAGGTGCTGACCCCGGCACAGATCAAATCAATTTGCCAGGCGATTCTGGACTCTGGGAAGCAGTATGCGATGAAAAAGCGGAAACCATTCCCTCTGATGTATTCTTACTATGGAACCGAATACTTGGGTGAGTGAAGGGGTTGGCAAAGGCCTGGAGGACAAAGGGAGTCTCTATGTCAGCTCTGACTAAAGACTGGAAGATTCTGGTTTTGACGTAGGTCATCACCATTGCTTTAACTGGGGACACTTTAAAATGCCATTGAAAAACAAATATCGGTAGATACTACAAATCACAATTTCATATTTGTTTTCAGAGTCTGCCTGTCAGAAATGTAGCTATTTTAACTATTCCTTTCACAAAGGATGAAAATTCTTGTTCTAGACTGTGAATTCATTAGCCCAGTTTTGCTGAAAGTTTGTGAGCAGTTTATACACTCACTGCCAGTAGTAACTATTCCTATTCACAGGGAAACAGGATTCAGCTACTGACATTTTAAAGAATTTTTTTTAATTGTTATTTTTTATTGAAGTGTAGTCGATTTACGTTGTTTCGGAAACTATTCAGTTACATATATACATACATCTTTTTCAGATTCTTTTCCATTATAAGTTATTACAAGAAATTGAATATAGTTCCCTGTGCTATGCAGGAGATCCCTGTTGTTTATCTATTTTATACATAGTAATGTGTATCTGTGAATCCCAAACTCCTAATCAAGTTATTAACATTAGTGGGTTAATAACAGGCTACTGAATCACAGTGGCTACTTTTGAGATCTGGGGTATGTAAAGTGAAAGTTAGTTCATCCCCTTTTGAATTATTCAGTGGCTCCCCATCACTCCTTTCCAGCATGACTTACAAGGCTCCTTGTAGATCACCTGCCTCCTCCTCCAAACTCAAGCTTTCTTTCTCCCTTTCCTGGTTCTGTCCAGCATAGTCTCCATCAAGTAAAGTGTTCTCACATCTTTGCCACCTTTGTTCCTGTTCCTTTTGCCTAGAATGCCTGGCTTCCCCTGACCCGTTCATCAATCTGTCATACACACTTCACCTAGACTTGAAGATTCTGCTCCAGTATTATTAGATCTATTGAGAAACTTTGTGCTTCTGGAAAAAAAGGGTTTCTTGAACCCTGTCTGGAAAAACATTCAAGTTTACCCAAAACCAAAATTGGTTAGTGTCCGGTCACCCTGCCACACTTCTGTTGGCACCCTTATGACAGCACACTGTCATTAGTGCTTTACCTGTCCAACTGCATTAGCAGGCCCTGGGCACCTTCAGGATAAGGAGTTTCTCTCATATATTTTTATGATCCCTGGACCTTTACCAAGAGCCTGTATGTAATGAGGGTCCCCAAATGAATGAATGGAGTGACTTATGAACAGCTTCAGCAATGAGCAAAGAGACTAACAGTTCTCTGAACGTTTTCTCAAAGAACCTTTAAGTTCCTGTCCAAGTTTCCCTAGAATCAGGGCCTGAGACAAGGATTTGGGTATAAATGATTTATTTGGGAGGTGATCCCAGAAAGTGTTGATAGAAGAATGCAGAAGTGAGATAGTAGAGAAAGTTAATAAGGATATGATAATGAGTAACTCTGGGTAACTGAGGCTCAGCTCCACTGGGGACTCTTCTAGTGTGTATAGACCATGCCTCAGAATCGTCCCACCCAAGGGATGAGGGAGTTGGTCTATTCATCCACCAACTCCCTGCCTTATGGATTGAAGGCTGCTCCCAGAGCTGTTAATTTCCTAGGATTTCAGCCCTGCCTCTGCGGGCTGAGCACACTCCCATGGCCAGAGAAAGCCTCAGGCAGAATGATAGGCAAAATGATATTGTCTGCTAGAGTTCCCTAACAGAACTATTCCTTTCATTTTCTCCTTTCTTAGAGAAATTAATATTCTAGCCATTTACATATACATATAGCACAAACCAGATTTCTATCTAATGCTGAAATATTTTCCTTGAAAGCAAAACTTTTTTCCTAACAATTTAAAATCCAGTGAAAGAAAGGTCCCTTCAAGTTTCGTGGCCGAATTTCAAGAAGAATAGAATTTTCGACTAGATACAACCGGAAGGCTATTTCTGGGGAGTCAAGAGTTCTGAGTGCCCGAATGCAAAGAGAAAACTTTAACAACATTATAGAGTTGAGTTTAAAGAGGAAGCCCTTGGAATATGTTGACCCCAGCACCACCCACCAATCACCATTCTACTCATTAGAAGTGAGTGAAGACTCCTACAGTAGCTGGGCTGGCTTTTAGCTTTGCTGAACTAATTCCTTCTCCAAAGCAGGCTAAGGGCTTTGCTCATGCAGTACCCCTTACTAGAACTCCTAGGAATTCTCCAAAACTTTGCTCAGTTGATTCTACCTGTATGGAACCTTCAGCGCCCCCTCCATTCCGAGGCCACATTAAGCTCTCCTTCCTCGGTTCTCTTTTAGCTTCCGGAACGCATCTCTGATAGAGCATTTATCACCGCATGTTCTAATTATTTATTAACAAGTCTGACTTTCTCACTGGACTGGATGGGACGGTCTTCAAGGGTATGGAGCAAGCCATATTCATCTGTGTAGCCCCAGGGTTTGGACAATGCTCAGTACACAGTGTGAAGGCTTAAGTAAATTAATACCAATTACTAATGTTTAGCTTTACAGAAGAAAGGATTTAATCTGTTTTGCTTACTGATCTCTCTTCAGCACCTAGAACAGTATCTGGCACATAGTAGGTGCTTAATTCTCATGTGTTGAATGAATGAATGAATGTTGAGGATACCTAGAACAAATTATTTTCAAGTACTTTAGGAACATTTTCATAAAAGCTATTTTTTTTACGAAGTTTAATAAAATATACTTTCTCTAAAACAGGAGTCGATCACTAAAATTTTCTATAAAAGGATACGTAATACATATTTTAGGCTTTGTGGCCATATGGTCTCTGTCACAAATACAACTTTGCCATTGTAGCACAAAAGCCGTCATAGACAATATACAAGGGAATGAGGGTGGCTGTATTTCAATAAAACTTTATTTACAAAACAGGCACTGGGGGGATTTGGCCTGCAGGCTGTGGTTTGCCCACCCCTCTCTAACGTATGTTCCCCAGAAGCCTAGTTCTTAGGCAACTCAGTTATCATATTACTATGTGTGCTGTCAAATAATATTGCCATTCTTTTTTTTTACCATGATTGTTTTTTCACTACATTAAACTGGTTCTCCTCCCAATTACATAAATTAACGATGCTTTGCTTATCTGTATAGGAGCAGCTCATGGCCTGTCGTCCATTCTCCAGATGCTTCTTTCATACCATGAGCACCTCAAGCCCTCAGATCAGGAGCTGGTGTGGCAGAGCGTGGACTTCCTCATGGAGCAAGAACAGAACTGCAACTGGCCGCCTGAGCTGGGCGAGGCCATCGAGAGAGAGAACGAGCTGGTGCACTGGTGCCACGGCGCCCCAGGTCTCACTCATGTTATTATCTGCAAATGTTGCTTTTCATCCGGCTTAGCCAAAGACGTGTGCCTTTTCTGAGAAGTGAGGGTATTTCTCATCTTACACTATTACCAAGTGAGATAAAAGGCCAAGATGAAACTTTTCAAAGCCGCAAAAGTTTGCATCTGGAAAGGCCCTCCAGAAATGATCCTGTATTTTAAAAATATATGCTCTGCATACAAATTAAAAGTCGTACTGTCCAATAAAATATAGTATGAGCCACATATGAAATTAAATTTTTAGTAGCCTGATTAGAAACATAGAAACAGATGAAATTAATTTTAATAATAGCTATAACCCAATATACCCAAATATTATTTCAACATGCAACCAATTTAAAAATCAAGTGATTTTGCATTTTAAAAAATATTTAGTCTTCAAAATCCCATGTATATGTTATACTTACCTCCCATCTCAGTTCAGACTAGCCACATTGCAACTGCTCAGTGGCTTCATTGGACAGTGCAGACCTGGAGCCTGGCAATTCAAAATGTAGTCCCTGAGCTAATGGCCTGGGCAACCTGGGAACTGGTTAGGAATATAGAATCTCAGGCCACACCTTAGCCCCACTGAATCAGAATCTGCATTTTAACAAGATCCCTAGGTGATTTGTATGCACATTAAGGTGTGAGGTAGACTGTTCTGTAATTCTTCAAATGTGGGTTTCCACTGTCACCTAAAAAAAATCTAGAGAAATGAGAAGCCATCTGTAGTGAACTCTCAGGAGCTGAGCCTAGAAATTTATCAGACCTCATCTTTTCCTTAAAAAAAAAAATCCCATTACACTGCTAATTAGGCCTGAGAGCAGTGGCAATTCGAAAGAAGTTAAATTCAAATGAAACAATTAATTTTGGTTGATTGGCCAGGGGAGAGACTTGAAATACCAATATACCACAAAAATTTTTGATTAGGAGTATATTTAATTTTCAAGGCTATGCTTCAGTGCCATGAGTACAGCTTTAAAATGTATTTGATTTCTCTTTAGTTACCTGATTTTTATTACTTCCTTTCCCTTCCTTACCTAATTAATGTTCTTTAATCCAATTGAATTTCATTTTTTCCTTGGTACAGTTTGAGTTGACAAAAATAGTGTGAGTCTTAGCCCATTGGCCGTATTTTCTCTGCCTGCCACTTTTACTGAAGGAAGGACTTCAAAGGCTCCTCTGCGTACTTGTGCCAGCTCCAGGGTAGTGTGCATTATGTCCAAGCTAATTCTCACCAGTGATAATTTGAGCCCATGTTTTCTTGCTTTGAACTTCTTGAAGGAAAACAACACTTATTTACCATTCTGGAACTATCTCTTCATGTGATGCTCAACACTCCCATTTCCCATTCCCTTTAATCATTTTCAGTGATGGTCTTTGGATATCCTCCAAGCACACCAGGATCCTTGAATTTTGGAGATGTCCCAAATTAAATACAGCATATTTTTAAAGGATTCAGTGTATAGTAAAAGCCCTGTAAAGAATGGGAAGATAGTCTCCTAAAATGAATGGCTGGGTCACTTAATTGATGTGGGTGTTTTGAAGGGCAGTTATTCCATTCTTTTTGTACATCACATCCCATCTGTCTTTGTAAATCATGTACCATAACAGTACAGCGTAGGATGTATCACCTTGGGGACTTTATTTATCCTCATCTATCATTCATGTTCAGTATCTCGGCAAGATTAAACATAGGTTGCAAAGCAAAATCATTCAACCCACGTAGTCACTGGACTACCCAAAATAAACCAATTCACAAGTGAATAAAGAACCAAATGGAGCCCATTATGTCTGCCAGCCCGCACTTCCATCTCAAGGGGCTTGGTCTTCCTTTTAAGAGATTTGCTAAAAATAGCGTCGAGAGTGATTATAAATCTGATAAGTGCCGGTCAAAGACCATCAGGGTATCTCTGAAGTTAGCAACGGTAAGCTCTCCAAAATTTCTGAAACAGGAGATGACCTAGAAAAATAATTTTCACTTGTTTGAGGAAAACATTTTCTGAGAGGAAATTTATGAACAGTGCAGATGGTTTGGGGAAGCAGAATGATTCTGTGATTAAAAACCTGCCAGAGATGATCCACAATGTGGAACTTCATCAGTGATACCTTATTTCCCACTATAATTGTTTCCTTCAACCCACCTCTACAGATGACAGCAGCATGGATATACTTCTTGACTCTAAGTTAACAACACTGGGTTCTGATTGTAGCTCCAGGAGTCACCAGCTAAGTGACCTTGAGGGAACCACTGTTTCTTTTGTGCCTTTGTTTCTTCATCTGTGAAATGAGCATGTTGAGACAGAGCAGTGAAGCTCAGTCTTGTTTTTTTTTAATTGAAGTATAGTCAGTTTTCAATGTTGTGTCCATTTCTGAGATACAGCATAATAGTTCAGTCATATGTATACATATGTATATTCATTTTCATATTCTTTTTCATTATAGGTTACTACAAGATATCGAATATAGTTCCCTGTGCTATTCAGTATAAGCTTGTTGTTTATCTATTTTATATATAGTAGTTAGTGATTGTCATTCTACGTGAAGTAAGCCAGAAAGAGAAGGAAAAATACCATATGATATCATTTCTTGTATGTGGAATCTAAAAAAAAGACAAACTTATTTACAAAACAGAAACAGACTCAAAAACATAGAAAACAAACTTATGGTTACCAGGGGAGTTCCGAGTCTTTTTATCACCACAGACTGTTTTTATACAGTGGACCCTCACCATTCCTGAGGGTTATGTCCCAAAAGGTTAGTAGACACCTACATTTATAAATACCCAGTGTGGCATTGAGTTTTTCTCACTAAATGCAATGAAGTAGAGCAGGCACGTTCATGTGACCCCTTCCTAGCCTTAATGATTCTGAAATACAGGAAGAAAGTCATTTACAAAATCATTAAAACAAATGCTGTGGCTAAAATAAACTCAAGATCACATTATGTTCTGTCATTACTGTGGTAACACTGACAGGGCATTTCCTTTACGCTGTGTGAAACACAGGTGTAGCTTTCTTTTTTTTTTTGAATCATTTCATGAGGACTTCTGGGTAGGTGACTTTGACTAGAGAATAGCACGGGCTTTTGCAGTCACTAAGCTTGCTAGCACACTGTACAATGCGTGCTTTAGTGAAATTACAGATCCCAAAATGGACCTGTGAACTGATTCTCTAGGATGTTGAAACTGTATGTGCCAAGTTTGGCTATCATGAGGCTCTGCTAGATTGCATGTTTTCTGAGATTTAGCCTCCCAAACCGTATTTCTTAAGTAATAATTTCTTTTCCCAGTCGTATTTGGCAAAGACATATATCATTGCTGCCTCAGGTTTCTTATCAATGCACAATAATCAGTGTTCCCATGACGAAATGACACTGTTCCCATAAAAAGCACCATTCTGTCCTTTTAAAGTAAACCACCCAATTGTGGGTTTCATTAGGTCAGGTTAGGAGACAACAGGTCTAGAAGTTTTTCAGGGTCCCTTCCAGGTACCATTCTGTGATCCAGGCTGCAGGAAGAGGCCCCTTCTCTCTGGCCAGAACCACAGGATCCATACCTAGTAAGCTGGTTGGGCCTAATGGCCTGGTATAGCAACTGGACCATCTCATCCATTCTTCCTTCCACATCTCTGATCGCTGGGCTGAGAGAAGGGATGTTACATGGTCAGCAGACATTTGCAGAGGCCTTGCCATGTGTCAACCACCACACCACAGACAGGGGAGCAAAAATGAGTAAGACAGAGTACTTGCCCTTGGGTAGTTGGCACTATACTAGGCAGACATGAAAACAGGTAATTCCAACAGACTCAGAGATACAGAGAACAAACTAGTGGGTACCAGTGGAGAAATGGAGGGGGGAGGGGCAAGATAGAGGTATGGGCTTAAAAGATATGAACTACTATGTATAAAATAGATAAACAACAAGGATATATTGTACAGCCCAGGGAATTAGTCATTACCTTATAACTTTTAATGGAGTATAGTTTGTAAAAGTACTGAATCACTATGTTGTACACCTGAAACTAGTATAATATTGTGAATCAACTATACTGCTATAAAATTATTTATTAATATTAAAAAAGCAGGTCATGTTAATATGATACTGTTTAAGTGCTAAGGTTTGTATAAGGAGCGCTGGGAGCTCAGAGGAGGGATTTCTTATCCTCCTCCAGATTCCAGGAAGGCTTCCTGGAAGAGGTGATGCCTGAGATAAGCTGGCCAGACTAAGAAAGCTAGGATGTTTCTTCCAAGAAAAGTCAGAAAGAGGCATGGAACCACATGGTGAAGGAAGGGAAACTGCGGGTGATTTGGTTTTAGGGAAGTAAAAAGCTTCATGTAGGGAGTGGAGGAGAATGGCAGGAGGTCAGAAAGGGCTCTCTGTGTCTCACTTGGAGATTAGCTCACCTAGATTCCAGGGGGAAGCTATGAAGCACAGCTGACACCACAGAGTTGGTCTGTCTTGAGGCGGAGGGAGCTGACCTTCTGTACCTTGTCAGTCAGTCATTGACTGAAATCCACCAGGGGTGGGTGCACAGCGTAGCCTCACATTGGTTGAGGGCAAATATCCCAAGAAGAGGGCAGCTGTCAACTTTGTTAGCAGCCAACTTACAGCTACTGGGAGATGGGGCACCTGCCAGTAAAGTAAAGGGATCTGTGCCAGCATGAGGGGCTTCAGTTCATCTGACTCATTCCTCTTCATCCTTCATTTGGTACCCAGGTTAGATGGTGTGGCTCCCCTAGTGAGCCTTTCCTACCTCCAAGTGTAGGTTAGGAGTCTTCCCATGTTTCCACAACACCTCTATTACCCCTCACAAGCCTAATTAACGCCCCCAGGTAGGTTGTAAACACTATGAAGTCAGAGGCTTTTTAAAACTTTAGCACCTACTACTGTCCTAGTGTATAGTCGGTGCTCAGTTAATATCTAAACAGTCACCAAATCCTGTGAGATATCTCTTTCATTAGCCTCTTTGCCATCTTTCTGCCAACATGATCAACTCATAGCTACTGCATTGCCCTTCTTTAGGTCTTAGTTGTCACCATTGTGGGACATTTTGTCTGTAATACTAATCACATCATTAAAAGTAAAAACCAACCAATTCACAGCAAAATGCTCCCATTGGTTCCCTACTGCCCACACATACAGTCCAAGCTGCCTAATTGGACTTGTAAACCCATCCAAAATGTGAACCCAATCTGTCCTTCCACCTCATCGCCCCGTTGGTTAGAATACTACCCCACTGGCCTGCGTGTGGCTTGTTTGTTGTGGCTTTGAATCTTTGCCCCCTCTCCGTCTCCCCTTGGGCCTGGAGTTTCCTACGCATGTTACAAAGTCCTGTAGAAAGCCCTGCTCCCGTCAAGGCTTCTGTCTCCGTCCAGGAACTTCCACTTTTCTGATCCCGCTGGTATTACTGACAGCATCATTCATTTTATGCCCCAACAGTGTCATGAACCACGTGTCCTATTGTGTATCAGTCACAGGTACATATTTTTCTCTCCCTTTATAGACAACGCCTTCCTGAAGGGCAGGAATCATGTTTAGCATTTTTTTCTATCACCCAGGGCCAGAACTGGCTACATCATTTAGGGGGCTCAGTACAAGATAAAAATGCAGAGCCCTATTTAAAAAATGGTTAAGAATTTCAAGATGGTAGCAGCAGAGCATTAAATCCAGCATGGGGCCCTTCTGGAAGGCCCTTGTGAGGCTGTACAGGTCACATGCCCATGAAGCTGGCCCTGCCGAGGGCTATGCATACAGTAGATCATCTATGAAAACTTTCAGATGAATGGATGCAGGGAATGAATGAACGTTTAATTAAATAAGTTCAATTTCTTTTAAAACCATTCTTTAATTTGCAGGAGGCACTTGGTTCCTAAAACCGAAGGAAGACAGTGTTACAGGTGACATGATCAGCGGAGAGCCCATTGTTACCTGCTTATCAAAATTTAAATGATAAATTTTTAAAAGAATAAAATCATGACTCTCATACAAATATAAACATATGTCAACAATTTTATTTGGCTCATAAATTAATGAGGGAACCAGAGAAGTGTTACAGCTGATTCAAAGGAAAATCCACAGAGCAGACATATTTATAGGCCATGAGGAACGCTGACATGAATTTACTTAATAGATGCAAAACTAGCTGCTTCCACAGAGGCTGAGGGAAGTCAATCCAATGCCTACCAGACAGATGTGAGTTTCTAGAGGCAGGAATTATTTACATTACTATCTGTTTTCTACAAGGTAATTTCTATCTCTACAGAGCTGTAAAAGAGCCCAGTCAAAGACAAAGGCTGAGATAACCCTGATGAATGAGCTAGTCAAAATCTCTACTAAATTCCAGCCTGGCTCACTTTCTATAGGAGAGAGGGAGGCCATGCAGGAGAGGGAGTGATCTTGCATTACTAATCTCCTCTCTGAATGCAAGCACCTGGAACTTGAGGGAAATCGTTTCTATTAATAGCTGTCACTTCTCTTGTTTCTGTTCCTGCCTGTGTAATGGAGATTGCCTTTGTTGAGGAGTTTTGAAGGAAGGTGTCTTTCCTTGGAACAATCAAGTTGGGAGGGACTCACTTTACAATCGAAGCAGGAGTCTTGGCCAGATCACTTGGGATCATTGTTGTTTTTGGAAGGGCTCCCAGTTTTGCTCTTAAGAAAAGGTGTATGGTCATAAGTACTTTTACATTACCAGTTCTGAACATCTGTGGGGGAATGGGCAAACTGTATAAACACTTAGCCATTCCAAGTAGCCAGGTACGCACAGCGCTTCCCAGGGTATGGCGTCATTAAATATTAACCCATTTGTAAATTTTGGATTTTATCAATCTATGTTCTTGTTCTTTCTCTAGGGGCCAGTACCATGATACAACGCAAACAACTTAAACTAAATCGCACAGGTTAAATAAGACTCCCTTGTAGGAGATTCCATAGCCTTGCTGCTTGAAATGTGATCCCCGGAAAGGCTGTTAGAAATACAGTATCTCTGGCCCCACATCAGTCCTACTAGATTAGAGTGAATATTCTACCAATACACTGGTGATTTGTCAGACTTTTCCAGTTTGAGAAGTTCTGCTTTATAGTATTAAGCCCTGAAAAATCACCTCTGATATCTTTGATGTTTTCACAGGAATTGCCTATCTGTTCGCCAAAGCTTATCTGGTTTCCAAGAAGCCACAGTACCTGGACACATGTATCCGCTGTGGGGAACTCACATGGCAGAAGGGCCTGCTGAAGAAGGGGCCAGGGATTTGCCACGGGGTGGCTGGCAGTGCCTATGTCTTTCTGCTGCTCTACCGACTCACGGGGAACTCTAAGTACATCTACCGAGCCCAAAGGTCAGCCTCTCTTTGCATGTTTTTTTTTTCCAAATGTTAATCCAATTAATGTTCTGAATAGATAGTAAGAATCACGTGGCTTAAAAAGTGTAAGAAGAAAAACATCAACTGTGCACTCTAGCAATTTAGTTCACTTCCCGAGAGACGGTCAGTGTTACCAGTGTCTTGTCTTCTCAGAAATGTTCCATGTATATATATATATATATATATATATGCACACACACAGAAAAAGGCATATATTTTAAATTCTGTCCTGCCTTTTTAATACAAATGGTAGCACTTTGCTATCTTAGTAATCACCCTAAATCAGTCCATATAGGACTTTCCATTTTTATTGCCACATAGTATTACATCGTGTGAATGAACCCTAATTTATTTAACCAGTCCCATATGGAGGACTATTTGGACTATTTCCAATATTTTGCATTACAAATAATGCTATAATAAATAGCCTTGTACATATATCATTTTGTACATGTATGAATATATCTGAAAGGTAAATCCCTAGACGTGGAATTGCTGGGTCAAAGGCTATGTATATTTGTGATTATTTTTTATTGTGGTAAGAACACTTAATATGACATCTAGTCTCTTCACATATTTCTAGAACGTATTCACCTTGTATGGTGGAAACTTTATACTCATTGAGGAAAAAACTCCCCATTTCCCCTCTCCGCCACCCAGCCCCTGGCAACAGTCATTCTATTCTCTGCTTCTAGGAGTTTGAGTATTGTAGATTCCTCATGTAAGGGTTATCATGCAGCATTTGTCTTTTTGTGACTGGCTTATTTCACTTAGCATAATGTCCTCATTTATCATTTAGAACAGGGTACATAGTAACTGCAATGTAAGTGTTCACTGTTCTTATTACTAAAAATTTTAGTTATATCATTCCAGACATTTCTCTATGCATAAATGTATGTTCGTATATCTAAATGTGTATCTGTGTATGGTATGTATATATTAATAAGATATTACAATTAAGTATGTGTAACAGTTCTATACATATAGTTTGCAGCTTATAATTTTAAATGAACAATTTTTAAGGGACATGCTTCATTTCAGTTTGCGTAGATCTAGCTCATTGTTTTAATGACTATATAGTTATTTAGAGTTGTACCATGATTAATTTAACGAACCTTTTAAGTAATGGACACTTGATAAATGTGCAGTATTTACTAATACAAACAAAATTGCCCCAAATATCCAATACATACCTTTCGGTGCACTTGTCAGAAAAATGTTGAAATTGAAGTCATTGAATGCAGAGGTGTTTCTAAACTGTCTTTATCTTTTGCCCATTTTTTTCATACTGTGATGCTTATTTTGAGGACTGTAACTCTTGGTCAATCTATGCTGTAAATATTTTCCTACTTTGCCATTTCTCTTTCAATTTATGGCTCATGGCTTTTTGCCACACCAAAATTTTAAATATTTTCCTTGACAAAATTGAACTTTCAAGATTTCTGGATTTTGTACTATGCTTAAAGAGACCTTTCCGACTCCAAGATTATAAAGTATTAATTTATATTGACTTTTAGTACTTTTACGGTTTTATTTTAATCTTTAAAATAAATTTATACCTCTTCACCCATTTATCCCACCTATTTAAAAGTTATTAAACTTTTAAATCTTTGATTAGTTAGAACTTACTTTTTAAAATAGTGTCAGATGGGTATCCACCTTTCTGTTTTTTAGTGGAAAAAAACGAAACTTTCCCATAACGTCTGTTGACCAATTACCCCAATGATTTGAAATTCCAATTTTATCACAAACTGAATTTATATAAATCTATGGTTTGTTTCTGGACTTTCTATAATTCATTCATTTATTTCCAATTTTTCTTAGCTGTCCTCTCTGATTTATTCTTCCAATTGTATTTTAGAATCAATTTCTCAAAAGTTAAAAAAATTCTATGGACATTTGATTGGAATCTCAATTGAATTTGTATGTTACTTAGTGAAAATTAACATTTTTAGAATACTGAGTTTTTCCATACAGGAGCATGGTATATTTTCCCTTTAAGTTTTTAAAAATATCATTTGGTAAAGTTTTGATCTTATGAAGAAGGACTTGTATGTTTCTTGTCAATTTATTCCTGTGGATTTTATGTTTCCAGGTTTGTGAGTGGAATCTTTTCCTTCATTATATTTTCAGATCATTTATCACTGGCATTTATGAAAGCTTTAAAAAAATACATATTATTGCAGTTTAGCAACCTAAGGTGCACTTCTCTTATATAAATCTGCATTGTATCTTACAAATATCTTAGTTTTGATAATTATCAAAATGATATATCTGGCCACCTTACTGAAGTCCATTTGTCTTTCTATTAGATTTTCATTAGATTCCATTGCGTTTTCTAAATAGACACACATATTATCTGCAAATAATTATAATTTTGTTACTTCCTTTCTCAACTGTAGGCTTTATTTTATTTGTTTCCTTATTGCATGGGTCAGAATCTCCGAAGCAATGTTCAGTGATAAGAGGGATAGTAAACATCCTTGTCTTTATGCTGATTTCATTAGGAATGCTTCAGTGTTTCACCATGATCTTTTCAATTTGCTTCTTATAATGTGGGTCATGTTATAATAGATTATGACACACCTCTGTTCAGGATAATCCAATGGCTCCCCATAGGAATCAGAGTAAAAGTCATGGTCTGTTCTCTGGACAAAAGACCCTGCAGGATCTTGCCTCTATTACTTTTCTGATATCGTGCCCTACTTGTCTTCCTCCTGGTTCTTTATGCTACAGTGGCTTCCTTGTAATTCTATTAAAATGCCAGGTACAATCTACCTGAAGGCCTTTGAAGTTTTGATTTCCTTCACCCATAATGTTCACTTTCTACATGTATCTCCCAGCTCTTTCACTTCATTCAGACCTTCACTCGAAAGTCATTTTTTTTCAGAGAGGCCTTCCCAAGCCCATTTATCTAAGTTCAATCTTTTTTTAAAAAAACATAAAATATCCTTTATGATATTTGCATGTATGCACTGAAGGAAAAATACTAACATATGTAAGTCCCTTATTTGAAGCTCCATTGTTTAGGAATTCTGTTGACATATTTTGATTTATGGTTCCCTAATCTGTTTAGGTTGCAATCTGACTCTTTATTTGCCAAATGTAGAAAACAAAAGTCATTTTGGATTTTATTTAGGCTAATGCGGTATCACCTTTGGGATAAATTTCATCAGAGGTTATCATTCCCTAGAAAGCCTATTAAAAAGAATCAGAACAACTCCTCTGTTTTTCTGGCAGGCCAGTCCTAGTTTACGGAGTCTTTATTGTAAGATTCTGGGATTACAGGGCCCTTCAGACAACTTAAATTTCTCACTTACAGATAAAGACTGAAAATGTGTGGGTACTATCTAAATATTGTTTGGGCATTGTATTTAATTGCTTAGTGCACTGAAATTTCCACTTCATCATAACTCAAAGGTAAATATGGTATGGCCCAGACTGGGGACTTCCCTAATTTTCGCAGTTCCTAAAACAGTAAAGTCAAACAATAGGTAACTTCCTGGAAAAATATTACTTGGCCAGTGCCTATTATTCTTTTTAACATAGAGTTGGAATTTATGATTCCAGAAAAGTATTTGACAACCTTCTCAGTTACTTCTCTGACTATTTAATTATTCAGGTTTTCTACCTCTTTTTGAATTAATTTTTGTAATGAATGTATTCCTATAAAAGCATCTAGTTCATATGGATTTTCAAATGTTTGACGTAAAGGTCTAACAGTATAGTTCTATGATATTTTGAATGTCCCATATCTGTGATTACATGCCCTTTCACATTCCCAATACTTTTCCTTTTTAGCCAGACACACCAGCATTTTGTCTGTGTTGTTCATCCTTTTAAGGAACTAGCTTTTGGTTTTTATTAATTCTTTTTATTTTTCTCTTTTGCTTCCTAATTCATTATTTTCTGTCTTTATGTTGATTTTCCAGTGTTCTTTTCCTTTATTTTGTTTTCTCCTATAGTTTTTAAAAAGTACTTAATTAGAATACCTTCCATTTTTATAATTATAGTAATAACAACTCAGATCAATGAATTTTCCTTTGAGTTCAGTTTTGGTCATAATTAATAAGTTTTGATATGTAATGGTCTCAATGTCTGTAATTCTTTTTTCTAAGGTTTTTTTAAAAAATATTTTATTTATTTGCCAACATATTATTTAATTATTTTATTTTGATGGGAGGTGGTGGAGGTAATCAGGTTTATTTATTTTTAGAGGAGGTACTGGGGACTGAACCCAGGACCTCGTACATGCAAAGCATGTGCTCTACCACTTGAGCTATACCCTCCCTCTATAATTCTTTTTAGTTCCGTAATTACCATCCTGACTTCTATTTAGACAGGAGTTTTTAGAAAAATGAATTTGTTAGTTCAGATTTGGCATTTTCACTTTAATATGATAACACGACATGTAGCTCTGAATACAGTGAAACTGCTCTTCTCACACATTGCTAGTATTCTTGTAAACTGCTATATATCATTTAGAGGTTATTTTGAAAAGCACAAAAATGTTTATCATATTATTTTTAAGTAAAAAAATGTAGGATACTAAATACTATACAGACTGTAATTTTAAGACTATAATAAATAAATCAAACCATAGTAGGGGGGAAAGGTCAGAAGAAGGAGCAAAATTAACAGTGAAATGGTTGCCTCTATTTTACAAATATTCTTCTATACTATGTTTATGTGAAAAAATTATATTTACCACGTAGCAAACACTTGCTATTTGCTCGAAGAGCCAAATATATGTTATCTTTGATCTTTACAGATAATTTTATGCAACTCTGTAACTTCAGCACTTTAAAGTCAGATTAAGAAATGTGACAAAGTTCATCTAACATGAAATTATCAGAGTCGGATATCACAACCCCAATGCCCTTCCTCTTTCTCCTGCACCTAGGCTTCTTAATCTAGGATATGTGAATTTATTTGAGAAAAAAGTATTACATCTCAAGCTGAAATGTAGCATTTCATTCAATTCTGAATTAACAGTGGCTGTGACTCTGTCACCAGATGTCATAGATATTCTCATGTCTTATTACTCTTGTTGCAGATATTGTGAAATATTTTACTCCCATCACTCCTTAGACATGTCAGTAGTTATTAGACCCACTATTAGATCTTATTATTTCATGTGTTAATAAAGAATCCATATATCATTACATCACAAATTTGGTTTAAAATTTTTTGCTAACCATATTTTAATATAATTAATTTTCTTGGGACTCCTGTGTATTTTACTTAATGTGTTTGAAGACTTTTTTCTGAGACAGTCCAGACTGCCAACTGATCCATAGGACTAAAAAGGTTAAGACTCCTTGAAGCTATACTGTGAAGTTTCATTGTGTAATTATACATTTTGAATTAAACAATTAAGATGCATCATTATTCTACTGTTTAAAATTGTGACTTCTATTTAAAAATTGTTGTGTATTCAGGAAAACAGTGGATAGAAAAATTATCCCAAACAGAATTGTCATGTGTTTCCTGCTGATTTATTTTAAGCTGCTGTCAATAATTCCAAGAGCCTTAAAAAGATCAAATAAGTAATTACTCTTCATAGGACCCCCTGTGTAGTAGCAATAATCTAAATTTGAATAGGATCTGTGGCAAATTCAAGTAAAAGAAAAAAAATCTTTTCGTAGAGCATTTAGAGGCCAGTGATTTATTTTTAAGGCAGATGTCCTAAAAATAATCTATCTTGTAGCTGAGTTTGCTATTTGATGTCATGATTATAAAATGTGGCTTGCCTTTTCCCATTCATCTTCTTCTTTTGTTTGCCCAAAGCACAGATTGTATAAAATCTTGCCCATTTATTTTCACAGTCTCTGCTCTCTGTCACATACAAATGAAACCTAGCTCAGAAATAATATGCCTGCAGAAACACAGCGTATTTACTCTTTTAAAGGCGCAGGCATTGCCGTATGCCAGGAACTAATACAACACTGGAAATGAACTATGCTTCAGTTAAAAACAATCAAAAGTAAATAAAGGAACAAGCATATATCAGCTTGCTTCCATTGAAGATAAATAAAAGTATGACTATTTATCTGTCTTTTTTTACTTTTAATTATTGGACGGCAGAAGGAATGAAATCCTCAGAAACATGTTTTGCTTTGCAAATGCTGAAAATAGTTGAATTTGCTTGCCCACATGCTTTTTTGAGAAACATGCACAATGACATTATGGCAGCTCTGGTTTTCTTAACAGAGAAAAAGTCTTTCTTAAAATGTATACAATTCTGGAAAGGAAACGATGCTAAAACTTGAACTTAGCAGAGAGGAGAAAGAAACAACCCAAGGCCAGTAATATGGAAACAGTCACATGAAAACTATTCATATTTTCCTCTTCTTCTCTTAGGTTTGCTGAATTTTTATTTACCGAGGAATTCAAGGCCGGTTCCCGGGTCCTTGAAAGTATATACAGCTTGTATGAAGGCTTCTCCGGGACGGTGTGCTTTCTGATCGATCTGCTGCAGCCCAACCAGGCTGAGTTCCCTCTCTTCAGCGTCTTTGTTTAGAAAGCTCCGTGTCGCACTGTGGCCCTGCAGAAGGTCCCTGAGATTTCCTGAGCCTACTACCCGAGGCCCTTCCCACACAAGCCACATTCAATGGTATCACAACCCTGAGCCTTAACATTGCCGCCGAGAGAAGGAAGGAAGGACTGAAGGAAGGTAGGAAGGGAGCAGGCAGGTGAAGGCAATAATGGTACAAGATTTAAGGGAAAAAACAGTGTGAGAACCTGCGAGCCTAAGACACCCAACTCTTCTAAAACCCATAGAGATGGACTATGTCAGGGAATAGATGCGAGACCAGAGATCCGAGGAAAAGGGGAAAGAAATCATCTGTCTTTCAGTTACGGCCTAGAAAGCAAAACTGAAATGGGGACTATGGCAATGAGATGCCAAAATACCTTTACAATTGGAGAGAGAATCTGACCATTTCTGGGTGCCCTCCACCCCTAAATTCAAAAATAAAGACAATCAAAAAACTCAAGTAATTGCCGAGCGGAAAACGGCTAGGAGGGGTAAGTGTCCAGTTGCTGAAGGACAAAAGAGGGAAACTCTTGGTTGTCCTTTGCCTTTACTTATTGAAATTCATGATTTGTAGTGAATGGAGAAGTTGGCATGTGAATCTTTATTTTTAATCATTCCCCTGGGCATTTTAAGAAATCATGTCATAACTTAGGTTTAGACCCTCAAATTCAAAGTTTCCTTAGGCCTTAGAGCATCTCTTTTCCTGGTTCCTTTTTTTTCCTAAAGCTCAATTAGAGTAGAAAAATTCGTAGGCTCGCAAATACGATAGCAAGTGTTGCTGCCAAGTGTTTTTCTCAATTTGAAGCGCAAGCTGTGTATTGTCTATTGTTAGTAATTTTTTAAATGCCTGTGTAATCCCAATGAAGCTATTAGCTGAATTGTAAAATATACTCGTGGTAAAAATCACTCATCTCAAAGATCAGGGTAACCACTACAACAGTGTGTCATGTCTGCCTTTGCTGGAATACCGTGTTCCACACACTGGCCTGGAAAGGGACCAGTGATTGTGGAAAGAACACTGCTCAGTTTTACACTATTCAGTTAAGAGATATGTGAACTCCCTGGCTGGTCACCTTACCTTCCAAGACACAGGCTCCACCAGAATTTGTCTACAATACCCACTGAGCCAAGTTGTCACATTGAATTCAACCCTGCTGTCAACACGTAGGAGTTATAAAACAACTTCAAGTAAACAGTGGTTTGCAGAACACTGTGGGAGCATCTGCCACTTCAATACTCAGAACACGAGTCTCCCCTTTTCCTAGAATTTGGTCACTGGCAACTTCATATATTGGAGTGAGGAGGAAATTGCATACTGTATAAGATTTAACAATTATTTAAATAGTCATTAAATATTTGGATATACATGATAGATGTAGAATATATACGTATAACTAAGTGCTTAGGTTTACATGGGGGTATAAATATATATGTATATATTCTGCATTTATCCCCATGTAAACCTAAGGAGTTATTTAGTTCAGTAGTTCCTAACTTCTTGATTCATAGATGAACTTTGGGAAGAGTTGGGGAATACTCTTGCCTAAAAATGTGTGTGTGTGTGTGTGTGTGTGTGTGTGTGTATGCGCATGCACTCTTTTTAATGGGAAGACAATCTCTATCATTCATTAAGATTCTCAAAGTATCTGTGGCTAAAGAAAGGTAAGAACTGTCTTTGTATATTTTATGACTCTGTTTATGTTTGCACACATCAGAACAAACTAGGGCAAAATGGTTTTGAAAAGCTTGTACCTTTTTAGCTCATTGTTTCATTTTCACATCCTCAGATTCAAATATGTAAAGTTGGCCTCGGTTGTTCATCTTTGAACATACTCAGGTTGAATCAGTACCATGTATATAAACAGCTTTCAGGTGACTCCCAAAGTTGGGTTCCAGAAGTTCTTTTGTGAATGGTCAAGGACCTCTCAGAAAGCCTTAAGACAAAATGCCTTCTCCAAAGTAGTCTCCTTTTGAAATGATAGTGGGACCTGGTTTTCACCATCTGGTTTTAAATTCATGGCACCTGTCCCCTGTAGGGCTGAGGGTAATAAGCATTCAATGTATCGGGCTTTATAGAAGGCATGTTTTTTTTAATCATCCAGCAACCCTTCGAGGTGATTTACATAATTGAGCCAAAGTCTCACAGTTGGGAAGGGGCAGAATGAGGAGCCAAACCCAAGGTTTCACTTCCCAAGTGTATTCATTCAGTATTCTAGGCTAGAACCTGAGGATCCAGCAGTGAACAAAATCACCTCCAGAAGTTAGCTTCTGTTTCTGTTTGCTGACCCTTCCGGCCATTCATCCTGAAGACCTAAAACCTAAAGCACTAAGAAGTGATAATCTAGCTCAACATAGCAGTTTCATTTCTAGGAACTTCAGAAAAACTGAATTAATTGCTGCTCGCCCACCCTTTTAAGGTCCAGTAGGCTAACTGTGATGTTGTTGTGCTGACTATTGTGAAAAGGCAACCATTTTGTGTGTTACATCCAAGAAAAGGCCATGTTGGTGTCCTTTTGAATTGACACCGCGGTAAATTAGAAGCAAGGGTAAGCTTGTCTCGCACTTAAACATGTTGAGAGTTTTCATTTTTGTGAAAGAGTGGAATTAAAGGTTTGGGAAGGCTCTCATCTATCTTGTTTTCCCAAGAAAAAGGAAAGAGACCATTTTAGTGTTGTTGTAGAAAAGTGTGGCATGTCACTTCTTAAGTTACGAACTTGTTCCCTTCTGTGTAATAACATTCTTTTTTGAATAGTGCTGAAGTGTGTTGCCTTTTGAAGGCTATGAGGATATTTTCACCATCACTAGTTTAACTTTAATATTATTTACTTTATGTGACACGAAAATTATAAACCCTGAGGTGACAGTGGAAATATTTGAGGATAGATTGAAATAATCTCTCAACAATGGGGAAGACTGCCTTATACTTGGAGAACAGGGAGTTTTGGAAAATATTACAACCCTGTGTATTTTGTTTCATTAACACAATTATGCACCTTCCCTTTCACCCCGCCCCCCAAAAAACTGTTATGTATCTTTATTTTGTCCAATCCCATTTCAGTCATCAGGTATTTCTTTCTTTCTTTCTTTCTTTCTTTCTTTTTTTTTTTTATTTGTAACCTGGTAACTGAGAATAGAGGTTTGACACCATATGTTCCCCTGTGCTTCTTCAGGTAATTGACTCCCCTGTGACAATAACAGTACTCACTTTCTGATAACTTGAGAAACAGAGTCATTTTCTTGGTCTGTGCTAAATTGAAACTCTTCCATGGCAATTTGTATCTTTAACTTTCTGTGACACACTTGAGACATTAATCAAGGTAGTGCTCAAAGTGCTTCAATGTCTGTAATGAGCACATCTCACTAATTTCAACGCAACATGCAAGTTTGTGATTTATACCCATGTTAAGGGAAAACATGATTAAAAGAAAAAACAGTACTGCAAAGAGCCCTGTTTTGGAAATCTCAAATCCTTGCTCAGCAACTTCCATGAGCCATTATCATCATCGTCGTCGTCGTCACCATCACCCTCTCCATGTCTCGGGGTGGTCAATGATAAAATGGATATAAGAGTTTTATAATATGTAGGTCCTTTATGTGCTTAAAGGGGAAGCTATATTTTAATTTCTACCACATGCATAGAAAATCATGCTCAACTATGACTTGAAATTAGCATTTCAGCCAAATGAAATCTCCATGTGTGGATGCAGTGTCAGGGGTCTGACTCATTTGATGGGTGAAAACAAAGTATGTGTTTTATATTCTAGAACCAATCCTGGCTGTAGCATTTGTGCCTCAGAAAGTTCTGATTCACTGGGGCTGAGTCCATAGGAATAGGCTGGTTTACTCGGGAGCTCCTTTCAATGCAAATATTTATTTTGCTTGCTGGAAACAAAGGATTGCAGTACCAGTCACTAAAGAAAAGCAGCTAGCTACAGGCTTGGCCTGCAGAGCAAAAAACAAACAAACAAACAAAAACTGGGAAATAAAGTCATTTGGGGTTGAGTTTGGTGTGCACTTTAATTTGGGCCTCAGAACTGCATGCATTGTAGTGATAGAAATATACTGTCAATGGCATATAAGGCCTCCCTTTGGGGACCTGGGTTATTTATTCAACTGTCCCAAATTAATAGCGAAATGACTAAGCCTTATATTCGCCAAGGCCGGGTGATTCTGGCATAAACTTGGCAAGGAAAGCAAATAAGAGGCAGGCCAAGGGGTGTGTGGGGGAAAGCTTACATGAGCTCAGCACCCTCATGTAAGTTGTGGAGGCACATTTAATGCCGCTAAAAGCCAGCCATCTTACTCGTTGGTTTTATTGCTTCCTGGGACCACTAATCCCAAACCACCCCTGATTCAGCAACTTCTTGGCCTCCTTCTCATCTTTAAATAGTACATTCTGATATGGATTTTTTTTTCCTGTCTGCTGAATCATGTGACCTCCTTTCGCCTGGGAGGGCAGGTTTTCTCCTTATCTCTTCCATCCATGCCAGCTAAGAGCTCCAGGCTCAGGAAGGCTGGACTCCCCTCTGGACAGAAGGGCTGACCTCACAGTCAGCAGCAGCAGGAGTTGGGCCCTTTTTGCAGTCAGATCACAGGTCCCAGACAGCCCACCCCGGCTAGGGGCAGCTCTTCATGAGAGTCAAACAGCGGCCACGTTTATCTGGCTTCTCCTCTGTAAAGAAACCAGTTATTTTATTGGTAGTTGTGAAAACAAAAACAAAGTTCATGCTACATTAAATACCTGGGCATAAATCTCATACTAGGGGTACCCCCTCTCTCCTTGTCTCTTTAATTGAAAGTGCTAATGAATGGAAGCCTGAAGGATGATGCCTTTGGGCTTGAAAATGTATTTGTTTTTATTTTCTTAAAGCATTGAACCTTGTCATTTCCACCTGGACTTCTCCACAAACGGCAGAGTCCCTTATCTGCAGAATTTCCTGTTCCTTTTTTAGGCCTTTGTGTACCTGTTACCCCTCTGAACTGAATTTGAAAAAAAAATTTAAAATCAAAACCAAATCATCGATATTTTTATTCTTGGGGTTGGGGGTGGGGAGCAGCAAGGTTAAAGGAGCAGAGAACCCTTTCTTTTCTTCCCTTTCTCCTCCATGAATAATAGTCAGGAAAGAGAAGGAGGGTGGGAGAAAGGATACATGAGGCTTCACTGTTGGAGACTTGTGAAAACACAGTTTGCAAGAACTTCCTGTTTGTTTCCTGTTTGGTTTTTCTTAGTCCCTTGTGTGCATCTGTGTACTTGTGTATGTGTGTGTGAGAGAGAAAGAGAGAGAGACTGCCTGACTTATTACAGTCAGCATCACATATGAAATAAAACCGAGCATTTAGCTATTAGATATATCCGAGTGAACAGATATATGCACGCGTAAACGGATTTAGTGGGTCTTCGTGGTGTGTTAACTGCTCTCTAATAAATTAGTACATAATTAATGAGGGCCCTAGTTACACTTCTAGTTGTCTAGCTTAAAGTATCCATTTTCATTAAAACTTCTGCCAGGTTAAAGCCAATAGTAGCTATCTGGAAAAGTTAACAGATGTGAGTTTCACAAATAGAGCCGCAATGTGCGCCACATACGTAATTTTTACATTTTCCAGTAGTTGCATTAAAAAAAAGTTAAAAAAAAGCGAAATTCATTTTAGTAATGTAGTTGATTTAACTGTCTATCCAAAATATTGTCATCTCAAAATGTAATCAATATAAAATTAACAATGAGATATTTTACATTTTTTTGTTACTGACTCTTCAAAGTCTGGTGTGTACTTTACACTTACTGCACATCTCCAGTCGGACTAGCCACAATTTCAAGTGCTCGAGAGCCCCGTGTGGGTTGGCTACTGCACTGGACAGCAGGGCTAGCATCTCACAGCTGTTTTCAGTTTTGATAAGGTCTCCCTACGGTTTCTGTATGTTTTCGTTGTAACAGGAGAAAATGGAAACCAAACACTGCATGTCATTTGAGGACTGCGGTGTTTCCCCAAACTCGGAACAGTGGGACCCAGAGCTGCCCTGTGGAAAAATAGATTCGGTGATGAAATGAGTTAGGAAAGTTCTATTCTTTTACCCCTTTGGGAAATTTACATGGTGTACTAACATATCACAGATTCTGAGAAAACTCTCCTGCATAAAGGAAGCTGACTGAAGTTGCTGAGTTCTGTGTCTGGAAGGTTCAACCTCCTGATTGCGGCTGTAACCCAGCTACCCCTCTAAAAACACGGTCAGGCTGGCATGGTATGCTTATTTGATTTTTTCTACACAGGTGTTTTAACACCCCTTCCCCCACCCCTCACCCCCAGGCCCATTAAAGATACCAGAACAATGGTTGTGTCCCTGAGTATTAATCCCTACTAATTATCTTGTCATCACAAAGACCTGAGGTCATTCTTTACTCGACTTTTGGGGACAAGAATTCTGGAAATTGCCACAAGTGTCTCTACATAAGAAAAACTGTGTGTCTTCCCCTCCTTCACTCTTTTTGGAGCCAATCTCTACTTATTCAGAATCACCCAAGAGCCAAGATATGTCTTCTCATTCTAGAACCACCTACTAAATTGAAACCAGCAGATGGCTTTAATATCTTGCATGGGGACACAGACCTTCAGAAACTACCCAAATACACAGCTTCCTCTCATTCTTTGAGAAATTAGGAGCACTCTAAAAAGATTAGGGGAGAAACACTGAATGTGTATATGTATAAACAGAATACAGTTTCTTAAGTAGAGTAATACCGTTCCCGCTAATGCTTTTTAAAAAATAGTTTGTGTGTGGTGTTAATTTACATGCTTTAATGTGCACTGTTCTTGTAAAGTGTGTAAAGTAGCTGTGACTTAGCAATCAGTTTAAAGAAGCTATACACTATATTTGACAAGTGTCAGTCTTTAGCAAATGAGCTTTTTGCCTTTGTTTTAGTGGGGCTTCTGATGCTGCCCCGATAAGTTTTGTTTTATGATCTGTGCTTAAGTGGCAATTACCAATTGAGTAGCTTCTGTCACCGAATTTGGTCCAAGTTGACTATAGTAACCCTTATATATGGACGTATTCAAATAAGATTGATTAAAAAGATCAGTTTTGTCTCTGTTTTTTAGGACTTTAGTCTTTCAATATTAGAGAAGTCTTCTGAAGACTATAGCGGTAGTAGTATCCCTTTGCTCTTGAAAATGCCAAGTATACCATGAGTTTTATATAGACTTTACAGAAGTAGGAGTGAAACATTCTAAGTGCCGAAGTTTGGGTTTTAGAATCCGTCTGATTTGGAAGGGCAGTCCATTCTCTAAAAAGGTAAGAGCCTTCCCAACTTTGAATATCTAGCAGAGCTCTGCTTGGAACAGAAGTCTGAATTTTAACCTCGTGGATTTCATGGAGCTAAATTAACACAATGGGTTTTGTAGAATCCAATTATTGGGGAATCACTTCGCAAAGCCATATACTGGGGAATAGTTAAGCACCACATGTTAGTTTTGGAGTGTGCATTTCCCAAGTGAATAAAATTTACTTCACCAAAAAGACTTTTTACACAATCCACAATACTTAAACAGAAATATGATTGTATCATTGGAGGGAAAAAAATTTCACCTTCCTAATGATACATTTCACATTCACTGGTAAACTAGTGCAATTCCTTAATTATTTTGGGATGATACAAAAATAATCTGTCAATAGAATATAGTTGCTTATTCCTATCTAGGAATGAATACATGCTATTATTTAAAGTACTGTTGGATTTTAAAGAACTGCTTAATAAATTAGTATTATTAATAAAATTGTACTCTTTGCAATACATTAGCCTCAGCACAAACGCAGTTAAAGACAAAATTATTTAAAGATACATCAAATAATAGAGATTAGTTATTATTACTCTAAAATCTTAATTTATAGTAGCATTAAATCCAACACCAGTTATCTGCTGTATATAACTAAAATTTTGAAAGTCTTGCACACAAAATGAAAGGCTTCTTGAAAAATGCCTTTTTGCCAAAAACAGGTTCTATGACCTTTTGCTAATTATTATATTTCTTTAGGGGTACTTTCAGGCGCTTTGAAAGACATACCTGTAGCAGCTAGGTCTAAATTAAGAGCAGAACATTCTGTCAGATATTTTACTATTATCACAAAATGTTGTAGTACTGTATTTTATAATAAAACCAAATTCTCAAGTATCCTAGTATATTACATATTATTATACCAAAAAAGCCACTTTCTAGGAGTGTATTCTTGTGTACATAATTTTTTTAAAATAATGTTTATTTCAGTCCTAGCAAGAAAGTATAATGCAATACGTGACATTTAATTGATCTTTAGTCAAAATCCATTTAGGTATTTGACAGGAAAACTGGCAATCATAAGCTCTAATGTATAGATTATTCTCAAAGACAAAATGGCAAACGATAAGACATAAAAGACACGGTCACTGGGACAAGTTAGCTAGTATGCACACCGAGAAGGGTCAGTTTGCCAGTGCTTAATCAGATTTTAGCTTTTGTTATTGTTGTTCCTGGCGGGGGAAGTGCTACAGTCAGTTGGTGTGGCCTCCTTTTCATGTGGGGGATTTGCTCACAGCCAGTGCATGGTATAATGAAATCTCTTTGGAAGCAGGATTGAGTCAGAAGCTGAGAGATGCACCTTACTGTTTTTAAAACTGCTGTTAACAATGTTCTAAACACTGTGATCTTTCCAAATGTGTTTTCTGTATTAGTTTTGTACTGTAGACAATAATACGCCATAAACTGGACTCTATAGTGTTTAAAGCAATGTTACTTATTGGCTTATCACCTCCCGCATATTTATGTACAGTCTACTTAATCATAGAAAACCTGTGATAATCCTTTGCCTTAAAATAAAATCTAATGCTAAATATTGAGTGTGCTCTAATTAATCATTTTAAGCTACAAATTAATTTTGCCATTAAAGCTTAAGACAGTGTCAAATAAAATATTACACAAATACTCTGTGAAGTGTTGCTGCCTATTCTGTGTTTGTGACAGTGTGTGTATCTTGATCTAGGACATGATGACCTGCTGGGTTCTATAAATAGATATTAGTAATCCTTTTAGAGAATGGGCCTGGCACTTCTCAGCTGTGGGCTGAATCCTCTCCTTAACCCTTATAAATAGATTTTCCCAGGCCACCCAATAATGAAGAAAAACAGCCCTCCTCTACAATTTTTGTCTTGATTCCTACTGAATCTTCACATTCTATTTGTGTTGCCATCCTCTTCATAAATAGAAAAATGCCAGAGATGCCTGAAGATGAAATCACCTAATTTCAAAAGGGAAAGGGATCTTGTCATTATTAAAGTCAAATCTCTTATGGAACAAGTTAGAACCTGAGTTGTAGAGAGATTTAGTGACTTGCTCAAGCTGAGTGACAAAAGTGGGCTGAGCCCATCCTGATGTCCAAAAGATTGTCACAAGTCCAGTGAGTGAAAAGGAACTGTGTTAGTCTTGGGGCTGGCACACAGAAGCAAGCAGAGGGAGGTATGGCTTGGGCTAGAAAACTATTTCCTTATTAGGTCCTGATCTTCGCTCTGCGTTAGTCAGTTATAGAGGAATACATTTTGAAGGCAGTTGTTTTGAGAAAGAAAGCGTTGGCTCCTAAGGATTACCACTGATGCTCTTTCACCTTGGAAGCAATGCTTCAAAGAACTGTATTTGGGAGACGGGCAAGCTTACCTGGCCCCGTGAAAAGGTACATCCTGGGTGCATGACAATAAATACACTTGTACTTTGAAAAGCATCTGTGTGGTCTGGTTATTTTTAAGTGACCGGAAACGCTGGCCCTTTGAGGAATTAAGCGTCTCCTAGGCCCGAAAACTAGAGACTGGGCTGGAAAGGCATCCAGACCCTAATTCGGGACCCCGCGGGCTGCAGGTTCTCTAAGGGACGTGACGGTTTCGAACGCGAGCGCCGGCCAAGGGGTTTTAGGACCCAGCGGCTG